AAGGTGTGTATTTATTTATCAATCATCTTGTTACTTAAAGGATTTGAGAGATGTCAGTCTAAAAGTCTATGAGGATCATATTGATCATTAGGGCTTTTTTTTTTTTTTTTTTTTTTTTTGCAGTATGCGGGCCTCTCATTGTTGTGGCCTCTCCCGTTGCGGAGCACAGGCTCCGGACGCGCAGGCTCAGCGGCCATGGCTCACAGGCCCAGCCGCTGTGCGGCGTGTGGGATCTTCCCGGACTGGGGCACGAACCCGTGTCCCCAGCATCGGCAGGCAGACTCTCAACCACTGCGCTACCAGGGAAGCCCTAGGGCTTTTTGTGTGTATAATTTTTTGCTTTGTTTTGCCTACTAGCTTTTAGCATGTTAAATAGTTTCTGGGCTTTTCATCTGCCACATCAAAGTAATTACAGACTCTTAGAGCAATAAATAGAAAATTAAATGCTTGAAAAGCATCTGGAAAATATATAACACTCCAGATATACAGATTTTAATCTTGTAATGCGACTGGAGGGAAATAGTACCTTAGAAATTCTCCCTGTTTGTTTCATTTTGATTTTTACTCTGTGAAATTGAAGAACTAAGCATACTTCATATGAAAGCCAAAATGAAAATCTTAACATATTTATGGGTATTGAAGCCTAGCTAATTTTACTTTTACTTTGCCATGTTTATTAGGCAACATGTTAAATTCCACTTAACAAACTCTTCTATGTAGAATTAAGGATTCCAAAATGTAAAAAGAAGCACAGTTTCTTTCTTCAGAGCTTAAGCCAGAGAAAAGGATTCACATAAACAACTGTAATATATTTTTACAAAAACCTTCCTCAGGCCTAAATATTTCTCCAGCTGGACTTCATGTATTATGAAGGGATGTTCTAATCTCCTATGAGATATTTTACATTTTATGTTGTAATTCCAAAACCTTTTGGAAATATTAATAGATTCCTATTCAAGAACATTGAGATGACTTTCCTATAACCAAGAACGGCTGTAGACTTAAAATATATCTGTGTTTGAGTTTTTGATCAAACTGGCACCCTAAAACAACGTTTTTTTTTAAAAATGCATTGATAAGCTTGCCTGCTTGCTGTTAACTTTCTAATGTCAAAGTGATAGCAATAGGCCAAAGCCTGTCAAGTGCTCAGATTGAATTATTTTCCTAGTTAAATACATAAAACTTCTCTTCTGAAGTGATAACTCACAACTGAAAGATATATTCTAATTTGACTTTAGCTTTTAAATATATTTTTAAATATCACTTTAGTTTGACACCACAAAAAATGACTGTGGCAGAGTGATTTTGTTTTAAATGTTGTGGTTTAATAATACAGCCACAGCCCATCATACTAATAAATGCTGATGGTGCGTCAGTACAGAATGTTGGATGCAGATGATGTCATGGTACACAGTAGATATGAAACTCCAGTTACTAAAATATAAAAAATAAGAACCAGTTTTGAATCAAACATTGTTTTAAGTACTTTCCATGAATTAATTTATTTAATCTTGTGGTATAGGCAGAATAATAGCCCTTCAAAGATTTCCACATCCTAATTCCCAGAACGTGTGAATATATTACATAGATGACAAAAGGGATTTTGCAGATATAAATATGATTATGGACCTTAAATTAGGGAGATTATCTTTATGGGCCAGTTTTATCACATGAACCCTTAAAAACACAGAACTCTCTCTGGCTGGAGATCAGAGAGATGTAGCAGAAGTGAGAAAGATTCAAAGTATGATAGAGACTCAATCCACCATAGCTGGAGAGAGACACATGGAAAGCATGAGAAGAAATAATGACAGCCTGTAAAATCAAAGACTGACCCCAAGCTGACAGTCCACAAGGAAAGGAGGACCTTAGTCCTGTAACTGCAAAGAACTGAACTCAGCTAACAACCTGAATGAGCTCAGGAGCAGATTCATCCCTAGAACCTCTGGAAAGGAACATAGTTTTGCTGTTTTTGCCCTTGTGAAACTCTAAGCACAGGACCCAGTTGAGCCATGTTCTACCTGGAATTCTGACCTAGAGAACTGTGAGATATAGTAAATGGGTGTTACTTTAAGAAGCTAAACTTGTGATAATTAGTTACAGCAGCAATAGAAAACGAATATAAATTTTGACAGCAGCCCATGAATTGGTACTACTATTATCCCCATTTTACAGGTAAGCAAGCTGAGGCACAGAGAAGTTAAGTAACATATCCCAAAATACCCAGTGGTAAAGTTAGGATTTTGACAGGAGAAATGAGCCATCATTTGAGAGGGTGTATTAAGGTTTGTCACACCCAAAAGAATATGCTGTGTATTAGAGATGTATTTTTATTAAAAGAAGATGTAATGTATGAACTGTATCTTTTGCATTTGATCTGTAATAGTTCATTAATGGTAGTATACCAGTAATTATTAGTAAATTTGCTAGTAAACATTAGTACGTTTTTCCTCAGAGAATATTTTCAACTTCACCATATTTATTTTAGAGATGCACAATTAAATTGCTTGGTCCATAAAATTAAGAATTAATGACTAATGAATGAGAGCTCCTTACTGAATCAAAGGCATAATAACCAGAAATGAGGATTAAAATAATGGTTTATCGTGTTCAAAACCAAAAATCAAGTTCAAACACAAAACATTCGAATCACAGAACAAATTCTTGTCATGAGAATTGTCATAAGATTTAAATGCAACTGGCCGCAGCATGAGGTTCATTGTGAAATGGTATGAAGTGAATGTTTAAATCTGCTTAAACTTCCTGGATTTCTGGAAATCAACACAAACCGTGTTAAAATTGCCTTTCTACGTTAAAAAATGGCTTGTGAGAATCGTGAAAATATGAGCACCACAAAAATATATTTGGTCACAATGAACAAAACTGAGCACATGCTTCTTACAAAGTATCCTTATAAAATTTAAAACTATATAAATTATACATCAACAGAGGAGACCACAAAGACCATGGTCATTAAAATTCTGCAAAGAACTAAATTAAATGAATATAATAATAATACATTAATGAATATTAAACACTGTAACATGTTATAAATATTAATATTTAATAAATTAATAGATTATTTATTAAATAATAAGTTAAATGCATGAAAATATGAAGGAAGAATTCTTTTCTTACAAAAATATTTTCAATTGAAAAGAGTATGGACATCTCAAATAAGTCTAGTTATATTTTATTGATGGAAACATGGGGAAACTTTCAAAAGATTTTCTTTTTATCATTTACTATCGACTGACAATGTTGCTAATGCTATATTTAAAAATATAAACTAATTTTAAATTTCTCATAATGCTACATGGAGACCTATAAATGTCATTACAGTTAATTTTTATACATGGCTTAATGTTGAAATCAGGTAGACCAAAAGCAAAAAAATACAGCTCACATTGCTAAAAGTATTCTCAAAATCTGGAGGTTAAAAGACATATATGTTGCAAATATGTGCATATGTTTCATACACCCTCCCCCCATAAAAACCTTAATAGTCATATACATTTTAAGTTAAGTGGTCTCTGGAAGGTACAAGCCTAGCATGTATAATTTAAATATTTTGTCACCTTGGTCTAGAATTTATAACTGTTTCTGTATCTGCTAAAAGTAAGAATGAGCTGTTCATGTGTTGAACATGTGTTCAAGTGGTAAGGTGTAAGGTAGACTTGTCTAGAAATCTATGAGTAGCATAGATTCAATGAACTCCACTTGTAAAGACCCAGTTGGCTCGTAGCAATATTAGTCCAATTGCTCCAAATAGGGTTGTATAGTTCCAACTTAAAAAAAAAAAACAAAAAAATGATCATTCTTTCTTAGGCGTTCTAAGCTCTTTTAAGACCACTTCCAAATTCAATCTAAATAAAATGTCTTAGTGCACTGCTGCTTTTCTGTACAGATCTTGCTTCTGTTAGACATCACCAACCTTTTGACTTCTCCCTCCTAGGCTTTTAACCCCCAGGCCTTCAAGAAAAGACAAGGTGATAACATTAACTTATTTATTTTTTTTAAAGAAGCACGGGGTGTAAGTCTGTAAATCACAACCAGCACTTGTGTCAAACGTCCTGCAATGGGCTGTTCATTGCTGGAAATGGTGATACAGGGAGGTTGTAGACTTCTTCCTTATATGTCTTTAAAAATCAAGTAGTCCTAACTATCTGGAATTGGAAATGCAGATAGCTAATACTATTGTTGCCATCTACTCAAATACAATTTTGATTTGTTTTTTGTTTTTTGTTTGTTTGTTTTCGGTACGCGGGCCTCTCACTGCCGAGGCCTCTCCCGTTGCGGAGCACAGGCTCCAGAGGCGCAGGCCCAGCGGCCATGGCTCACGGGCCCAGCCGCTCCGCGGCATGTGGGATCCTCCCGGACCGGGGCACGAACCCGTGTCCTCTGCATCGGCAGGCGGACTCTCAACCACTGTGCCACCAGGGAAGCCCCTCAGGATATTTTTTAAACATCAGAATTTATTAAACTTTGAGAGCAAAAGAACTACAAAGTAAAATCTTTATATGTAGAACTTGATAATCAGGAAATTATTCTAAGACATAAAACACATTCCTGATGTATCATCCTAGGTATAAAATGGGAAAACAAGAAGCTTTCCCCAACATTTACACTAGTTTTTAAAATTCTTTGACTTTACTATGACCAAAATTGTTTAGATTCTACAAAATGGGATTGTTTTGTTCCACGATCAGATGATTGAAAAATGCATCCTTTTAATTCTGTCTTCCAAATGTTTAAATCCTAAAGACAGATTAGGTAAACCAATGCAGAATCATACTGAATAAGGGTTGCAGTTGCCCTTCTGTATTCTCAGTTCTTTCTTCCACCTCTGTTGAAAATTATCAGATTACCTTTACATTATTCATTCAATCTACCGTTATTGAGAATCTATTATAAGGAAGTTACAGAGATTGGTCATAAATAAAACCCATCCAGACCTACTAATGGAAGACCCAACCCCTGACTTTTCCTTCTCACATATCGTTGGGAGTGTTTCACATGAGTTCCCATAAATCCAAACACCATGGGGTCGGCTGCTGTGTTGGTGATCCTGTTTCCTTCCTCCCCTGCTTTGGCTCCTTAGTGCTGAGTACAACCACTTTTACTTTCATGGGAGTTTTCTACATGCTGCAGGCACAACAGTCTCCTGAAGGCACCCCTGGGGTTCCCTAGGCTTCGAAGAGTGGAAATTCTCTCATGCCAGTTTCTCCAGATTCTCCTCCACCCCAAGGCGAAGCACTGGAGTGCTGCAGTTGTCAAAAGGCTGTGTCTAGTTCAAAGAGCAGGATGGCTCCTCCCTGTTCTGTGTTTCCCCCTGTCATGGGGGGTCTCCATTTTACTCCCTCAGGCATTAGTCCTCATGCTGGTACAGGAAATGAGCTGGGACAGGGACACCATGCTGAATGCAGACTTGCTCTTACCTTCAGTAACTAAGGTTTTGTCAACCTTTTCGTGTCCAACTCCTTCTCTTGGAATGATTTTCCTTCCAAGAATCCTCTTCATTCCTTGTACGTGTAGACTTATATGGATCTATCCCACAGTTCACTCAGTATTTCTGAACCCTGTAGCGGTCACAATTTAGACGGGAGATACTGCAAAACAAATTATTATGCAATGTCTGCCTTAAGAGATTCTAGAATTTCTCTAATTGCTAACACACCTCAGGACGAACTGAAGCCATCAAATATTTGTAAATGTCAAGGAGAAGAGAACAAATTGCTGCTGTTTCCAAGTACCCCACTCTTTTTCCTCAGATTATCATAAGTTCCAGATTTTTATTAATATATTTTTTAAAGAATAACTGATTCAGTACTGTTCCAAATTTTGAGAATCATCTTATCTCACAGAAACAAGATTTAAGCATTTGTGTGGATGAGGGAGATTTATTTAAAAGGTTACTGAGAATTTTATTTTAATACTTTAGAGTCTTTCTTGACAAAAGGTGATAGTAAAACATTAAAAGGATTATCATCTTAAAAGTGGAAAGAGGATTTGTGACACAAAGTCAAGCAAAAAAAAAAAAACCTTTGAGAATTGTATTTATGAAAAGAATTGTAATTTTCAACATAAAAAAATTAATCCCTATTCATCATTCAATATATCATCATTTAATATGAAGGACAGCAGAATACACTTATAAAACGCTGAATAAATTTGCATTTTAGAGTAATTTACTTTTCACTAACATAATTTGGATGACTCAAGTGAAACATAACGCAGTTAACGGAACAGATTATTTCAGGTATAAATTTTACAGGCAAAATATATGTCAGATACAACTCACGTATTTATTCCTAAGAGAAATTGTGAGCACTTTACAATGATAATCATGTTGCAAAAATCATAAAGTTCCAATATATTTGAATGACTTAATTTCGATAAGACTTTCTTTCTTTCCTTTATAATCATGAGTTCAACTTCTACATCCAGCACTTTCATTATCCAGAATACTATTCTATGTCATTCAAAATTGTTTCTTCATACACTGAGGGTTTATTGCAGAGAATTACACAAGATGTTAGGATTTGTTAGAATAAAAAAAATCAAAATTGGGGCTTCCCTGGTGGCGCAGTGGTTGAGAGTCCACCTGCCGATGTAGGGGACACGGGTTCGTCATCAAGGGGTCTTAAGCAAGAAAGTGACACAACCAAATATATATATTTTAACATGAGCTTTCCTGCACTTACGAACACTAATTAAGTTTTAAAGAAAAATGCACATCAATTAATTTATTTCATTAGGGATTATTCCTATAGGGCTCAAAAAGCTGGTATGGCAGATGCAAAAACATGTAGTGTTGATATTTTTCAGTGATGGATCATTTCTCTTCATTACTGACACCGTATTCATCTTTTCAGGTTTTTTTTTTTTTTTGCGGTACGTGGGCCTCTCACTGTTGTGGCCACTCCCGTTGCGGAGCACAGGCTCCGGATGCGCAGGCTCAGCGGCCATGGCTCACGGGCCCAGCCGCTCCATGGCATGTGGGATCTTCCCGGACCGGGGCAGGAACCCGTGTCCCCTGCGTCGGCAGGCGGACTCTCAACCACTGCGCCACCAGGGAAGCCCGAAACTGATTATCTTATTAAGCAAGCCCAATTCATTAAGGGCAGAAATCAAATCTAATAGACCAACATTTACCCTAGTCCTGGGGTATGTCTGAAACTGCTTGGAATTTTAGAAAATACAAATAAATGAGAGATGTATTCCTTGTCTTCAAGGTTCCTATGATCTATTTGAAGAGAAAGGAGACAAAAAATATAAAAATTAAATGGCACAACAGAAAATAGAATTTAATACAAAGATACGTGAGAAATCATGGACAGCCCACCTACTATAATTGAGATGTGTTATGGAAAGTTATTTATGATTTTTTTTTGACCAGAATTCAGGTCCCATCTTCCCACAGAACAGTATTTGACATAACAGTCAATTTCCCTAGATAGCTTATATAATCCTATTTATTAAATTTAGAACAGGCCTTAGGACTAACAGTGATATATAATGTAGTAGTACTTACTATAGCATTTTTATTTGTATGCCAAATTTAATTAATGGATTAATATGTTCACATATTCAACAAATATTATGATGAGCATCCACTGCATGCCAGGCACTGGGGTATAGCTATGAACCACTCAGATAAGCTTCTCCTTACAGAGTGAATGGTCTTTTGGGCAAAGCAGACATTGAGTAATCATAATAAAGGGCACTAAGTGTTATGAAGAGGGGACCGTGGGTTATGGTAGTGTTCAGCAAGGGAGCTGCTTGGGCTGGGGCTTCTTATTTAAGGCAGGGTTAGGCTGAGGTTTTAAGGGTGAATTAGATATAAACTGGAGGTTGGAGAGAAAAGGAGGAAGGATGGGTTCCAAGTAGAGGGAAGATCATGTGTAAAGGTCAAGGCATGGGAGGAAATATGCACACAGAGGCCATTTGAGTAGCAAAAAGAACTGTCTCGCAGCTAGAGTACTATGAATAAAGTGAAACAAAGCTACATGTTGGAGAGATGCGTAAAGGTCGCATCATGGCAAGCTTTGGAATGAGATTGGTCTTTGTGTTAAATGTCGTGGAGAGTTAAAGGTGGGCAGGACAGCGTCAGATTTGCATTTGTGGAAGATTATTCTAGAAGCAGTCTACGGGAGGAGTCGTAAGGGTCAAGGATGACAGCAGGGAGACCAGGTGGCTAATACTGCTATTGAAAGTGCACAGTAGGTTGGCCTAAGGTATTGGCAACGAAGGTGAATAGAAGTGCACGGTAGCAAGTCTGTAGAATGAATGATGATTGGAGATTGATGAACTGTGGGGAGAGAGGAGAAAAGAGGAGCTGGGATGCCCGGGACCCTTGAAGTTCCAGGAAGGGATGCCCGCAGTATACCTGCCTCCTCATCTGATCCAGGCAGTGTCGGAGGGCTTGACTGTGCTCCTGTTCAGGCACAGGCCACAGAGCAGGAAAGGAGTCCCTGGGCAGGTGGCCACAGCAGAGGCAAGGCTGGAAAGTGAGCCACCCTAAGCAAAGCAGGATGAAGGAACAGAGTGACTCTGGGGGTCTGTTGCCAGTGAGGAGGAGAATCCCTGGCCAGGCCAGCACAGAAGAAAAACAAAAGAAAGCAGCCCTCGATATCTGGAACTGAGTTTTACAGGTAGACCTCAGTGCTATTACAAGCTGGTCTGACATTCAGAGCCAGGTCATTTTATTCTCCCGTTGGACACAAACAAAATCTCTACCCAGATGAGATCACCCTGAGACAAGGATAAAATGAAACAGAGCAAGACCACGTCATAATTCTGTCTAAACACAGACAAAAAACATGGTTATTGTGCCAAAATAACCAAATAAAACACCCAAACCTAGAAATACCCTCTTTTTCTAACAACATCCCATCCGGAGCAAACTCTGCTTCCTTAGACCCTCTCCCAATCACCCAATTCAAGCCTAAGTCTTCTAACAGGTTCTTTCCGACTTTACTGAGATGCCCCACGGTTCCCCATGTCACGTGCTCCCCCGTGCTGTGGTGAGTAATAAACCCAACTTGTTCAGCTACAAAGGGGTTCCTGGTGGTCTCTGGCTGAGGGCACTGACAGTAGGCTAGAAATTCATAAATTGGCAATTGCCTGCCTATATGTGATGCACTGGCGTTTTAGTGCTGTGGAATGGCGCACCATGGGCACATAATGAACATTTGCTCGACAAACAAGCAAGCGTTTACAGGAATGAAGAAAAGACCACTGCAATAACCCACCTGCTTGCAATCCATTCCAGCCAGTCTCTTGGATTCGAATGTTGATCTAAACCTACACGGAAAAAGAAAACAGAGAAAAAATTAAAACAAAGACAAAAACACAACCCCCAGAAGATTTATGGGTAACGCTACTTCAGTCACAACAGTCTTTAATTTTTTTTTTTTTTAACTTTGATTTTGTTCAGGGAACTTTTAGCTTTACTCATCTTTAATTACCTCAATTTCATGCTGAACTCAGGCACAGAAGAGATCTGTTTGTAATTTCAGATGAGAGAAAATGAAATTCCCCTCAGCAAAGTCAAATTTTAAAATTCAACAGGAAGAACAGTGTGCCAGTTCACGAAAAATATCAACTTTACATTTCAAGGTAATTCAGTGGCAATGCAGTACTAAAGAGCTCACGTTTTGTTCTGAAAACAAAACAACATTCAACAGAGAGGGAGAATGTTAAGACAGAATCTATTTGTCTCTCCCTCTCTCTTTTTTATTGTGGTGAGAACATTTAACATGAGATCTACCCTCTCAACAGAACTGTATGGACACCATACCGTATTAGTAAGCGCTATAAGCACAATGCAAATCTCAAGGACTTAATCAGTTATCTTGCATAATGAGTTTTATGCCTGAACAGCAGGTCCCGCATCCCGCCCACCCTCCTAGCCTCTGGCAACCACCATTCTACTCTCTGCTTCTATGTGTCTGACTAGGTTAGATGCCTTAGATCAGTGGGATCATGCGGTATCTGTCCTTCTGCGACTGGCTTATTTCAGTTAGCACAGTGTCCTCCAGGTTCATCCCTGTTGTCGCAAACGGCAGGATTTCCTTCTCTAAGGCTAAATAACATCCCGTTTAATGAACCACATTTTCTTTATCCACTCCTCTGGCAATGGACACGGAGGTTGTTTCCACTTCTTCGCTATTGTGAATAATGCTGCAATGAACATGGGAATGCAAATATTTCTTTGAGATCCTCATTTCAATTCTTCTGGATATATACCCAGCAGTGGGATTGCTGGGTCATATAGCATCTCTGTTTTTAGTTTTTTGTTTTTGTTTTTCTTCGCGGTACGCGGGCCCCCCACTGCCGCGGCCTCTCCCGTCGCAGAGCACAGGCCCCGGGCGCGCAGGCCCAGCGGCCACGGCCCACGGGCCTAGCCGCTCCACGGCATGTGGGATCTTCCTGGACCGGGGCACGAACCCGTGTCCCCTGCATCAGCAGGCGGACTCCCAACCACTGTGCCACCAGGGAAGCCCTATTTTTAGCTTTTTGAGGAACCTCTATACTGTTTCCCACAGAGGCTGCACCAGTTTACATTCCCACCAGCAGTGAATATGGGTTCCACCTTCTTCCCCATCCTTGTCAACACCTGTCATCTTTTTCTTTTATAATAGCCATCCTAACAGGTATGAGGTGATATCTCATTGTGGTTTTATTGTGCGTTTCCCCATGGTTAGTGATGTTGGGCATCTTCTCATACACCTTTTGGGCATTTGTATGTCTTCTTCGGAGAAATGTCTATTCAAGTCCTTTGCCCGTTTTAAAATCAGGTTGGTGTTTTTTTTTTTTTTGCTATTGAGTTTAAGGAGTTTCTTATATACTTTGAATATTAACCCCTTATCAGCTATATGGTTTGCAAACATTTTCTCCAATTCTGTAGTTTGCTGTTTCATTCTAATTGTTCCCTAGGCTGTGAAGAAGCTTTTTATTGTCTCTAGAAGGTGGAATATTCAGCAGATGTTAACATTTTTCTTTAGTCTCCTGCATTTTTCAAATGTTCAAAAAAGAACAATAATTATTTTATAATTAAAAAGAAAACAATAGTAATTCAAACTAATTAACAGAAGCCAATTCATAAAGCTAAGTGGAATGGGAACTATGGTAATTGTCTGAGCCTTGATAAAGGTTATTTGAGGAAAAAGGGGAGATTTGGACTTACATATATGGTTATTTATATTAATCATGTTCACCAAGTTCTTCCCCTCTTCTACAATTTATTTGATGCTAAGTCAATGACTCAAAGACCAAGAAACCACCTTCTGAAGCTTTTGAGAAATTTCAGTTTGTCAACTTAATTTTCTAAGTTTGGGAAAGGAAATAATGAGAAAATGAAAATGTGCAAAAAGTTACCAACCCTTATGCATTATGGATGATAACATTTAGCAGTTTCTATGAGAGGCAGATACAGAGATCATAGTTTGCGTTTTTAATACACTTCCTATGTTTGCTGAAAAGAGCTAGTGTAAACAGATGCATCTCCCTAATGATGCTACAACTGATAGTCCTCCACTGTGAGAACTCCCGGAGTTTATGAAGAACACACACCAAAAAAAAAAAAAAAAAATAGCTGAAAGCAGAGACATGTTTTTTGAGAACCATAGCTAAGTTTTTCTTTAATTACTGAAATATGAGTCAGATGAGGATCATGATATTCATGAATAACACAATGAATAAAAGAATGACTAGCCCACGTGGAACAGAAGATGTCAGTGCAGGGCTGTCGGCTTTGTTATTCCAAACTTAAGAGAATGATGGGCACAGTGTTATTCATTTTGGAAGATTCTACACCAAAACAGTGACATCCTAATTAGGACACGTCTGTCTTCTATTCTTGTGCTTTTCTAGACACTTTGTCAGTGACTTTCAACCATGTTTTTTAGCTGTATAAGAACTCCACCTCAAATTCTCAAAACTCCTTTTTATCGTCTTTAAATATTTACGTGGCATTCAACACTTCTTTGAAAGCTATGAGTCTACCTCAAATCAGATACAGACTTGCAAGCTAAAAAGTCTGGAAACCACTGTCCAGGGGGATCAATTCAGAAGGAAATATGTCTTACGTAAATTGGAAAAGCAAAAGGACTAACTCGTTGCAAGCCGAAGTGATGTTGGTGTCAGACCACGGAACATCTTAAGGATAAAGGGGATTATAGAGGCACAGCCACGGTGAATCAACCAAATTCAAATGAAAGCTTCTAAGTTGTGTATAATTAATAATTTTTGAAGGGGTGGCATGAGGTTTGGGAATTTTTTTGCGGCTTCTCCCCTTTCAATGTTTTCTGCAACCCTCTGGCATTAATGATGATTAACTCTACTTGCCGGGGCTATCACAACCCACCCTATCACAATTCTAAAACGATGCATATCAAAATAGACAGATAAAATAATTACAAGAGTTAGTAAGCAATCCAATGTCAGGATTGAAATACAGTTGAAGATGTTGGAAAATTTCTAACCTGATACAAACCATCAAGCTCTGGAACTTCGCTTCTTTCACTCTCCCAGGAAAGGTGATATCCCTGTTGTGGATTATTCCTGAAGGGCCCAAGTAAAGCCTGGGTGTGACACCAGTGATCCTCCCTCTCCAGTAGCTATGTACTTTTCTGAAATACTTGGAAGCTGAGCAGCCTTGTGGTAGAGAAAAGTGGTGATGGTGGTGAGGAGGGGAAAGCCTGTCTGTAGAAGAGTCCACCGCAAGAGAAGGAGAAGGCTGGTACAAGAAGCCAGACCCAGAAGCAGTATCTGAGGTTCTAAAGTGAGGGTGGTTCCAGGTTCTGTGAGGTTACTGATGTCTGAATAGGTCACATCTTGGCACGCTGGCTGCGTGTGTGCTCTGGCGGAGAAGCTGAGGATGTGTAAAATCAAAGGTGCCACACCTCCACACAGAGTCTAGAGCCCAGGAAAACTGCATGCCTTATCTGCTTCTACTGGGCAGGGGACTACAAATCTCCTTCTCAGCTAGCTAATGAGGCAGGGCTGAACTGGAGTGGAAGGACGCATCTTTACAATTCCAAGATCTATCTCTATGTGGGGAGGAGACAGTCTTTGACACAGGACTGCACGTAGATGACAGATTTAGAATCATTACATCCATGCTATGAAGTCACCATGAAATGAGAATTTCAGTTTACCAACTGATTTACTTATGCATTGTAACATAGAACAATACATAGTTTCTAACAGGTACCTCATTTTCCCCCAAAGGCTATATACAACATGTAGGTACAGTTTACAGAAAAGTGATAAAACACCCACCTAACTTAAGAAATAGAACATACCAAATGTTGTGATTTTTGCTTTACTTCTATTATACAGTAGAAGCATGGTATCAAATGGGGTATGTTCTTCTCTCACTCATAGAGCACACTCCTTAGAGAGTTACTGCTACGTCAAAGGGTTGTTAAACATGACCAAGGGATGAGAATTGTCTCCAAAGAAGTTGTGCTGATCTCCACTCTCACCGGTATTCGAAGGGTGTTCTTGTTGTCTCACGTACTCTAATAAGATATTTTCTTGTTTCCCTCGTTTGTGGGAGGTGAGACGGTATTTTACGGTGATTTTATTTTCCTTCTCCTTGACTG